AGCAATGGATGGAAACTAATCAAAGAGGGAAGCAACTTAGAACTGGGGAGAAATTTCCTGACAGAACAGTTAATCAGTGGAGCAACTTGTCTCCAGAAGTTTTAAATGCTTCAACACTGGAAGTTTTTAAGAAGATGTTGGATAACCATTTGTCTGAAGTGGTATAGTGTTTCCTGTCTAGGCAGGGGATTGGAGTAGAAGACTTCCAAGGTCCATTCCAACTCTGTTATTTTAAGAATTTACCTATAATTCTTTGGAATGTGGTGTATCCTAGGACATTGTGGGAAATTTAAAATGGCTTCCCCCCCACCCCAATTTGTTAACTCAGTTGCTATCGCCCAGAGGGCATTTTTTTTCTCAGCCCAATCTTATCTTGAAGCTGGCCAGGAAATGGTGTGGATTGGAGTGTGCATGGCATATGCTGGTTAGCTATGCTCATGTGGTGCACTGAAAAAGAAATGTCTTTAGATCCCAGGGGGGAAGATGGTTCCTTCTGGATCTTCTGGCAAAAGTTCATGTTGAGGAATCAGCTGCTGCAGTCAATGCCTTCTCCTCCTTTCAATGTAATGCTCCTAGAGGGTGTTAATTTGCTCCGAGTTCAACTTTCTGACATTGTCTTGACATCTAGAGATAGTTCCCAGGATATCCCATTAGCTTGGCTTGGAGTTAAAATCCCAATACACCACTAGGGTCATAATCTGCTCATAATTTAGTGTAATGGGTGAGTCTCTAGCCAGGAGTCCTGTGTGTTGTAGTCCTGACTTAGGTATGAAAGCTAGCTGGGTGACTTTGAGCCAGTCAATCTCTCTAAGGCAAACTGGTTGTTATGGGGAAAATAGGAAGAAGTAATATTGGTTTTTTGCCATTGAGTTGTATGTGTACACACACACCCATGCACACTTAGTGAAGAACGTGGGCTGCCAAAAGCCCTGCTGAGGGTATCAGAAAAAGAGGTATGTATTGTGTTATAATTACCAATGCAAAATTGTAAGGGTAGTTTGCAACTGCCAGTTGTATGCTGTGTTGTCTTTCATTGACCATTTTCCTGTGTGTTCTATTGCTCCTTTTTCCCTGACCAAAGGAAACCAATTAAGGAGAAAGGATGGAATATCTTCTCAGTGACTTAAAGCCTTGGTAGCATTAGGATCTGTCCAATTAGAAGCTATTTTCATCCCCAGGGCTGAGTCTGGAGCTAATTACATGAAGCCAATGGCCCAAGATGGAATCTATTATAATTGTATTCCTTCAGCACTTGTAGGCGCCAAATGCCATTTAATGCCTATCCTTTTAACTTGACCATATCCACAAGGGGGGGATACGCCCTCTGCATTTAAAACAAACTGGGGATTTTGCACATGTCTGCGAAGGATCAAACAGACCAATTTCCAAAAAGGTTCCGTCATTCCTCCCCCCCCACCCTGACTGTCCGAAGCTCAAACAGCTTTGAGTGTGTAAAATACCATATTTTTCGGAGTATAAGACGCAGAAAGGTTTTGAAGAGGAAAATTTAAAAAAAGGTTTTGCACTATGCAAACCTCCCAAAAATGCCCCGTTTTTTTGGAAAACGGGCCTGTTCCCCCCCCCCAAAAAGGGCATGAATAGCCTTTAGAGAGCTTGCAGACTGCTCCGGGGGGGGGGGGCAAAAATGAGCAAAAAATGTCCCATTTTTTGCAAAAACGGGCCGTTTTCCATAAAAAAGGGGGCATGGATAGGCTTTAGGAAGTTTATAGAGTGCTCCTGGGGGCTGGGAGGGATGTAAAATTGAGCAAAAAACAGGCCGTTTTTCACTCATTTCTGCCCTCCCCAGCTCTCTGAAAGCCTCCTAAAAGCTGTGCACAGCCATTTTGGTGAAGGGGGTGATGTTTTGGGTGGCAAAAAATGCTGTATTCAGTGTATAAGACGCACACAGATTTTCAGCCTCTTTTTTGAGGGGAAAAAGGTGCATCTTATACTCCGAAAAATACGGTATGTATGCTCTGTCACAAAAAAAGCATGTTTTTCTTTTTTTAGATGGAAGATGAAGATTCCATTTTGCCCCGGAAGTTGCAAGGAGCGCTTGAACACATCCTGGAGCAGAGAAATGAACTGGCAAATGAGAAGGAGGAAGTCACACTCAATGGCAAACAGGGTTTGGATTCTGATTTGTTTTTAATTTAACATTTGGTAGTCTCTCTCTTTTTTTGTGCGGGGGGGGGGGCAATGATTGTTTATCAGTTCAGGACTTTTGTATTTAGCATAGCAGTGCTTTTCAACCTTTTCACAGATAGAATGGAACAGAACAGAACAGAACAACAGAACAGAACACAACAGAATTCTTTATTGGCTAAGTGTGATTGGACACATGAGGAATTTGTCTTTGGTGCATATGCTCTCAGTGTAAATAAGGAGAATGAAATACATTCATCAAGAATAAAAAGATACAACACTTGGTGGGAGTCAAGGTTACTAATAAGCTATCAAATCGTACTAAGAAAAAAAATAAAAACAATATAAATTGAAAGATACAAGCAACGTAATGGTTATAGTCATAAGTGGGAAGAGAGAGATACTAGGGAGGAACAGAAGAATAATAGTAATACATTCTTAGTCAAGTATTTGACAGTGTTGTGGGAATTAGTTGTTAAGCAGAGTGATGGCATTTGGGGGGAAACTGTCCTTGTGTCTAGTTGTTTGGCTGTGCAGTGCCCTATAGTGTTGTTTTGAGGGTAGGAGTTGAAACAGTTCATGTCCAGGGTGTGAGGGGTCTAAAGATATTTTCACAGCCCTCTTTTTGACTCCTGCAGTCAAAGGCAGATTAGTAGCAATCGATTTTTCTGCGATTCTAATTATCCATCCAAGTCTATGTTTGTCTTGTTTGGTTGCAGAGCCAAACTAGACGGTTATAGAAGTGCAGATGACAGACTCAATAATTGCTGTGGAACTGAATAAGCAGCTCTTTGGTCAGTTTGAGCATTCTGAGTTGGCGCAGAAAGAGCAGGACATGACAATATTTGAGTACCACCCGTACGGACGACAACACCTTAACAATATCTTAACAATAATTGTTCTAGAATAAGAGATGGCAGATTCTATATGGCTTTATAGGGGTGTTTAAACACAGATTGAATGGTTGTTGGGGTTGCTGTAGTAATGGAATCTTGCTCTGGGCAGGAATTGGGCTAGATTGTATCTCCGATCCTTTCTAGCTCTTATGTTCTGTGATTCTGTGTTGAAGATAGTACTAAAAACCTCTTGAATACAAAGCAGAATTGCTGTGCATGAGAGCGCTCGGTTTTCCTTGATGTAGTGGAATAGATCTGGAGGCTAGCCAAAAACAGTTAAGAAAGATCATTCAACCCCAGTATATTTTTTCCTGATTTTATTTCATTCTTTGTTTTGACTTTCCTCAATTTCCCTACCATGTCCCCTCAGAGGCCAGCCCTTTGAATGAGGTGGTGTCAGAAGCTTTCGTCCGCTTCTTTGTGGAGATTGTAGGACACTACTCTCTCTTCATGATTCCTGCTGAGAAGGAAGAAAAGGCTCTCCAGCGGGAAGCTTTTCGGAAGTCCGTTTCTTCAAAGAGCCTTCGGAGGTTCCTGGAAGTTTTTATGGAGACTCAGATGTTTGGAGGCTTCATTCAAGAACGAGAATTACGAAAGCAGGGAGCCAAAGGTGAGTGGTCCTCTTGACAAGAGGATAGTGCAAAGAATCCAGCAGATTCTTTACACCAAGTCATAGTATTGTTCTGTTTCCTTAGCATTATCATCACTGATACCAGTTTTCTAGGACAGGGATCTCCAACCTTGGCAACTTTAAGCCTGGAGGACTTCAGCTCCCAGAATTCCCTAGCCAGCAAAGCTGTTCTTGAAGTTCTCCAGGCTTAAAGTTGTCAAGATTGGAGGCCCCCCGCTCTAGGATGTTGGAATAGAAGTTTCCAATCCTTTTTGGAGATGCCCAGGATAGAACCTGAGACCTTTTATCTACAAGGCATGAATTGAATGAATTGCATGAATTGTAACTCCTACTGAGTTACAATAGATTCCTGATAGTTGGTAGATCTAAGTACAGTAGAACAAGCACTTCTGATCATGACTTAAATTGGGTGCCGACCAAAAATGTTGCAGATTTTCTGCATCTGATCATGAACAAATACTCGGGTAGCGATCAAACACAGCTATGGCGATTTGCCCTCCTGTGCCATTTTTTTTTGTATGCGCATGTGCAGTCAGTCTTGTTTCCAGTCACAACCAAATTGGTTGCGACCGAAGTTCTGGAACAGATTACGGTCTTGACCAGAGGTTCCACTGTACAGTCTTACTTGTGTAGATGTCTGCTTTGCTTTTTTAAGCATCATACTGTTCCCCAATTGGTAGTAGCAATAAAAACCAACGAACTTAATGGTTAGTTTTGTTATTGTGGCTGTTCTGGATCTCTCTCTAGGTTTGTTTGAGGTACGTGCCCAGGAATATCTGGAGACCCTTCCCAGTGAAGAACAGAGCGGAGTTAATAAATTCTTGAAAGGATTAGGTAAGGAATTCAAGCAAGGGCAGCTGCTACAGTGATCATGATTTATATATATATATATATATATATATATATATATATATATATA